AATCATATTGACGTTACACTCGAATACATGTCTAATTAAGTGGGCTGGGTGTTCGTAATTTCACGATTGCCATGGAAATGTCACTTGACGTTTGCTTATAAAAATCCGTCTTTGTGAATTAAACGATTTCCGTTGAAAAAGATAATACACCGTCCATTAAATCGATTGTTGTAAAATCTAAACAAACGTTGATAGGTGTAAAATCCAACTCCAGTAAAGCCTATTATAAAGAATATGAAAAATTGTCTCCATGGATGAATAGGAAGTTACGAATACAGTCTTAAATGCATCCATAATGCTGGCATATATGAAGGAAATGTCAAAGGTATTTAAATCTTCTATATTTTGGTGCATTCATTCAAAACTTTAAAGCAATGCTGCGATTAAAAAGTGGAACAGATTTGGAAGCATACCCTAAATTACGCGCGTTTGTGAAAGCTTCAACCAAAGGATAGGTACAAAAGCCAAAGAGATGTTCTGCATTTACAGAAAGCGACCTAAGAGGATTTTTTTATTTCATCCAGATGACAGTTTCAAAAGTCATACTTGAAGTATCGTTACTTAGCAACTTTAAAGCACGTGTGTTTTAAAGGCCCTTTTTCGCACGCATTTGAGTGTTTAAAACGGAGATTGTGATTCAGGTATAATAAAAAAATTGTTTTAACCGTTGTTGCATATTGATCATTTGATATTAATTTTAGTTGGCATAGTTACAAAAATAATAAAAACTATTGTCAATTTTAATGTTTGAAGGAAAATAAAATATTCATTTAATCCTTCTTATTTAACATTTATATATTACATTATTAGTAGAAGAATTCGCCGACCGTGACAGTACATAGGATTACCTCCGTATTTATTACATAGGCGAGTTGTATTCTACCACTATCCCAACAACAGTCCCCTTTGGAAACACGTTAATAAAAACTAAGGAGAAAATTTCTCCTCTTGATAAAGAGTTCAACACATTCTAAAATTCGTTGTTAACAAATTGCCGTAATAGCCAAAATGTTGTTTGCTCGCATTTTATAAACAGAAAGAAAACGTCCGGTTGAGAAACACTGGTGTAAATTACATGGAGGTAGCTCAAGTTATTTCATCTTCGAATTTTTTTAAATTTCAAATAGACACAAAATTGGGAAAATTTATTGATTTCTTAATTTCATGTTAGTTTCTTATTGTATTCCGTGAATGATTAATTCATTTAGTATAGTAGTATTTAGTTTTTATGATAAATTTAAAACTTAGGGAACTTGGAATCTTTAAATGAGTAAAAGATAAAAGGTATAATGGGACAAGAATTGGTTTGTCCCGTGCGAGATAAGCGATGCAGGTGTGGGATGAGTTCTGTCGGCGTAGATGGAATTTCGGGTGTCGCATGGTCGAGAATAATAATGTTGACTTTATTAGTCGATGTGGTTTTAGCTTAAATAGCAAGTAAACGAGACTGTCTCGGGTTATTTTTAAAGAGAGCGTATTTGTCTGTGTCGCTATTTTATTTGGTACCGGTAGTCCAGACGGTTTTGCAATCTTCGAGGGCTCGTAAAGGGATGATTCTTTAATTTTGAAGTTCCAATGAGAGTACCTACTTGATATTACGTAATTTTTCAGTAAGCATCAGCATATCGCATATCGTAAAAATCCGCCGTGCGCATGCGCAACCTGCGCAATATCAACTTTATTATTTGTAGGTATATTTTTTGAAATTTTAACCAAAGATTCGTCTAGTAAAGGTAACCATATTGCATATTTTAAACATTAAGTGTGCGCATGCATGTGCAGTGAAAAGAAAAGTAAAATAAAAAGACATTATAAGGTGATTTTCGCAACATTTTTTTGTTGTTTCTTTGGTGGCTATAATGTTGTTAATCTATATCATTCTTTACAGCTCGTAAAACTCGATACATTTTTATAACCTGCTACGGGGGTTCCTTCTGGACTTGAAAATTACCATCGGTTCCGCCCGGCAAGGCAAACCGTCTTCTTCTCAGGCTGCTCAATCGATAAAAATAAATGCTCCGGCTAACTCAAATCGGTGGGCTTTTAACTCTTTTGAAACTGCGTAACAAACCTTAACCTGCCGCCTACCAGTTTCCTGCCTCAACTCCTACTCCTCTCTTTCCTTCCCCTCGTTCTTCGTTAAAGACATAGGCACATTGAAACCAAATAGATAATATATTTAAATGATATTAGAGATACAAACAAATTACAGGGATCTAGCAGTTCTTCTCTCCTCCTTGTAAAAACAATAGCTTAACAATGACAACTAAACTAAATAAAAAATCCTACCAGGTGAGACTAATTTACTCAAGGGGTGGCCATCCTCTACAGTTTGAAAATTTCAACAACAGGTCATCGGTTTTTACTCCAGCGTGGGCTGGGACTTATTTAAATAAACACAAAAATTTATCCTACTCTTTGGTAATCGTTCATTGGACTTTAATAAACAATCAAATCAAAATTTTTTCTATAGCTTCATTACCAAAAAGTGAAATTTTACAGAACGTTACAAATTTAATTAGACTAACCTTTACAACATTTGTACAGCCGATCTTGTGAACTGCTCTTTCCTCTGGTACAGGATGGATGGGATGAAACCTGACACTTAGGTCTCTGTGACTTCCTAGGGGGTGGCTTGAAGTTAACACACGGAAACAAAATCCACGGTGCCTATCCTTCCTCGGAACGAAAGCAAAGTTTAGTGTTTGAACTGAAGCTTAGTCCAGGAAATCCTTCGCGTGGCGAGTGGGAGACGGCTAGTTGCCAAAGTTTCTACACAGCAGGTGTATTTAATTTAAACAGTGACCCCTACTATTTCCTTCCACCGGCTCTTAGAGTTTATTGACTTGGATTCGCCTGCGGGAGACGGATTTTTGAGTTAGCGGCACGGCAGAACACAAATTTTTATGATCACTATCCGACGGTAAACCGCGATTTGTTCTTGGGTGGTTCGACTTATTATTTCACCAGCTCTTCTTGGGGCAAATATCTCTCCAAAACGCAGCGCTCCTTCGACAAATGACCGTACGGCACTAGTAGGAAATTCCACCTGGGGCGGATCCCGAATATCGGCGCCTTGAGGACTAGGGCAGCACTTTGAATTATATATCCTCGAGAAATCACAACGTATCCTAACGCGATTCACTGCATCCAAAGTAAACTGGGTGAAGCTCAAAGGTTCGCCTAAATATCACCTGATCGGAACCTGGGTCTTCGTCGCCAAAAAATCAACGCGAAAAGAAAATAACACTTCGAAGCGGGTGCAAAAAGCACGCAACTGCGAGCAACCGAAATAAACCGGTGGCTCAAACTGCTAGGTACCCCCAAAAAAAAACGATCACTCAAGGTACGTGTTGACCCCTTGACGTACTAACCGCGAGTCTCTCCAAAACGATCCCCTTCTTCAGAATTGAAATGAGAAAACCACACCCAAATTACCATAAAACAAAAATGGCTCCCGTTAGAAATTCTCCCATTGGTTTAGATAAAGAAGACTTAACTCACTCTAACTTCGTCGTCAACCTCCAGGAACTGCTGAATAAGCTGATCTCACGGTTTTCTGCTGACGAACTGAAGACCCCTTATCTCTTGATGGCTCGGTGCTATATCCGCTCCTATTCTCGGTCTAGACGGCGCCTTGGGTGATAAACGAACGACAAAAACTCGCATTACTCATGATGACGTCAATCAACTTTGCACTCTTCCCACGACGAAATTAAATCTGAGCGAAATTAAATCTATCCGACCATAGTCTTGAGCGAACCGGAATGCCCAAACACAAAATTTCTAACCGGAACAAATAATGAAATATACAGGGTGACCTGCACTATCATGACAAGAAATTTCGAATTTTTTAATGAAATTTGGCGCGAAAACCACTCGTTACAAACCACACCATAGTGTCATTTTGTAAATTAAAAAGTTGTGATACTTTAAAGGAAACCACAAAGTTCCGATTACCTCCGAAGATATGCCAGAAATGCCGAAATGTGCCGATTTCGTTTTTATTTCTTTTCTAATGGTACTTGGACAGATAAAAAAAAACAGTTTCTCATTGCCACATTTTGTGATTTACAAGGCACAGTTGAGAGATTTTCAATGCAACGTTTCGTTTCGAAGAAAACATCTTCAACTTTATTTTTTTATTACGAATACAACGATCTACGGCACACAAAAAAACGGAAGTTTGAAACTCTTGATTGCACCAGGATGGTGCACCTGCGCACAATGCCCTAATCGTGCTATCGCCCAAATTTCATGGAGAATTTCTCCAATAGGTAGGTTTCCTTGCAGAATACAGAATTGGAAGCAGCGCAAAATGAGAAACAGATGTTACCTTGATAACACATTTTTGCTATGGACCCCAGATACACAAGAAAGTGTAAAATATGGGCGATAATTCATTGGCAAACTACTGATTACATATGTTTCGCTTCTTAATCAGAGCTATTTATATAACAAGTACATAAACTGGGTCTTTATGGACGAGCCGTTTATTTAGCCGAGCGAGCTTGCGAGCGAGGCACAAATAAACAAGCCGAGTCCCCATAAAGCCTATTTATGGACGCGATATATACAAAGCTTTATGTACGACTGCAACAACCCTTAAAAATGAAAATTTCATGGAATTCAATAAACGATAAAATCTATATATCATTAACAACAGATGTCAAGCATTTGTCAAGTATTTCTAAAATATTTGAATTTATCTTGGATTGACACCTAAGTACGACTGTCACATTGACAGGCGGCCGTTTTACTTTATCATTATGGACTAGGCCATAATATTGCAAATTATGGCCACTAATTGCGCCTGTAATAACCGCATTATCAAGCAGTCGTACATAAACATTTAAATAGTGACCGAACAAACATCTCTCGAAACATTTCTCTAGGTAGCTCGGATGGTTAAATAAAAGAGAATTAGTACTACGCGGGTATTCTACCATGGACAAATGTTCCTCCTGAAACCATTGAAAGTAATACTGTAATAGGTCTGCCGTATTATTTAATTAGTATAGAAAAACTTATTAGGGATTATATTCTACATAAAAAATACATAATAATTTATTTTACTCTACAGATGATGGGTTGTTTTTATTACGATTGTCCTTTTCACTAAAATAATCTTCAATTTCCGAAAATGACTTTTTGTAAGTCTCCACAACACAGCTGTATATATATGCGCATGCTGTCAGCGACGAAAGCGCCATAAAGTACAGAATATGAGACTGTTTTACAACTTTTTTCACTGCGTAATAGGATTGTATTGTTGAAAATTCGGTTAAGGTCCCTACAATGTACGAGATCGACTGGCCCGTTCCACGTAAATGAGTGGGGTAAATAGATGGCGTAATTACAATGGCAACAAGATATGGACCTGCTGCTAGTGCATAAGTGTACAATAGCATGGTGCACAATGGGATCCACTCGTTGATTGATGTTCCTGGAAAGAAAAATTAGCCCCGGTACTTTGGAGACAAATTGGCAAACCCTTGTTGTTTAAGTCAATATATAGTCCAAAAGATAGTAAACATCCAGAAAGAATAATATAGTTTACAATCAGGATCCATCGAAATTTAAAGGTTTTCAGTAACCACATACTGAAAAAGCTTGTAGCTAGCCTAGCTAGGCCCATGTAAATCCCAATGGAGTATGGATTTATTGTAGTGCTGAATTCCTGAAATAGAAATTTAGAAATTGAACTTTGCCGCACAACTTGCCTACGTTGAAGAAAAGTATAGTGTTGCTGTATACCACGGTTGAGCCTGTGAGTTCGTTAAAAACCTGTAAGCCTGCAATCATAAGTACTCTCTTATACCCTGAAGGTTGAAGGAAGAATTTCATTTTTTGCAGAAGATTTAAGTTACTCGGTTGATATCGTTCCTGGAGTGTTTGGATCGAAAGTAACTTACGATCAATTACGCTTTCGAGCTAAACAGGCCAAATTTAATAAAGGATACCTATGTACCAATATATGCTTACATTTTCATCCTTTAGCATTCGATAACGGTTGAAGTATACTAACGACTCCTTTGCGTCATCGATACGTCCTTTGCCCACAAGCCACAACATACTTTCCTTGACAAATAGTGTCAAAACGAAAGGTATAAGTGGCAATAAGCAGTTGATCCACGCTATCGTTCGCCAGTGTATGAAAGCACCAAGCAAAAATACAGACATGCTTCCTGCCACATTGTATTATTTACTAATTTACTGTTGGGCAAAAAACGAACGTACCCAATCCCCAGAAGATGCCTTTGAAGCTAAGCAGCACTCCTCTTGCGCTAGGTGAACTAATTTCGGTAATGTATGTCAGAGTAGATATCATAAACCCCGCTGTAAAAGATCTAAGTAAGTAATGGTTAAATTGAAAGGGCCATTACGGCAAGCAGAAATGGCGATGCAGAATCCGGCCATCAGCATTGGAAAATTCGACGCAGTTGCGATTATTAGCCATCCGATCGACCACGGCAATATGGCAAATCTCTGGGTGTTTAATCGTCCTATCTGATCCATAACTAATCCCGTCACGGCATTGCTTATTGGCCTGATCAGTGCACCCGTAGATACTAAAATTTAACGTTGTTTTGATTGCTCTCTCTCTAGGCCACTCGCTAATTGCACCACCACCAATTTTACGTTTTACGCGCACTTACACAACCAAGACTTTTGATTGTCCGATATAGTGAACGAATTATCAACTCGCATACCGTTGACTTTGGAAAAATACGGAATCAGAATTGATAGATAGCTGAGCTCCATTCCATTGAGAAAGCAAAACATGGAGACTGCAAGCGCCGACGCGATCTATGCAGAAAGTAGTAGCGTTGATATTATTGAGTCGCTTACCTGAGGCAGTAAGTAAAGGTTCATTCTGCAAGGTCTGATTTTTACATTAAAAATAATTTTCACTAACTATATGGTTCTATAGGCACAAGTTTCTTGCAAAGATCAGTCTTCGATAAACATGCCACGGTCGCTGAAATACATAAATAACAAATTTTTATTTGTTGTTAATCAAAAACCCGCGGTTATGCGAAGGATCAAAAGGAGATTTCGTGCTTTTGTGAGACAATTTATCCATTAACAGTATAATCCTACAAAAGTTGGAAGATTGGAAAGTTGAACAGCTTTTCTAAAAAAGAAGGCATAACAATATACTACAAATGATTTCCTCAACATACGACAACAAACAGTTTAGTGGAAGAGTTGAGGGAGACACTTACATTTTCTAATTTAAAAGCGGGATCATTTTATTAAATGTATATTTAAACACTACAGGATCTACTTACAGTTCTGAATATGAAATAGCACTCAAGTAAATATTGTCCACCAAGTCTATGGAAAAGTAGATTACAAAATCAAATAATTAAGGAAGAACAAAACCGCACCATTGTTTGGCTGGTTATCGTTTCCACTTGCTCGAAAACATGCTATGCACGCTATAATGAAGGAACGCCAAACATAATAAGTCAGCGATAACTAATAATCCCAGAAACTGTAGGACAAGATTGTTAGCGTTTGTTTAAGAAAAAATCATGTCAATGGAATACTTTGAAGCACTCGACTGGGGACACGTAGAGGAGTCACTTCTCTTTATTTTTAGTAATTACAAGATAAAGGAAATTGAATCATAGTGTAAATGAGAGACAATAAAAATGTGACCCTTGTATGTTCCGTAATTCACTGATTCGGACCTTTGGATATTTAAGTTTTAGTGAAAATGTGCAGTGGATAGCAATTGAACCGCAAGGTAAATCCTCTGCTAGTTCAGCAGATCGCCGCCACTCTCAGGTATACAATTCCTACGTCTGAGTAGGAGATATTGACCCCTGGTCTTATAACCTCCTTCTACTGGTTCTTGATCCTCCGACGCAGGTTTTGAATTAGGATTTGAAGTGGGCTATGAATGAAGCCTTTTGATACGGTCGCTAACGTGTTGTCTGAAGATAAGATAAGAGAGCCTCCATGATGGAATTGGTAGGGAGGCTATTTAAAGTGTTTTTAACATCAAAAGAAAAGATCATGACCAGCTTCTCACGCGTTTTCACCTTGCAAAAAGCGTACAAGCTGGGAGAGATGTTTACGTGTCCAATCATGTGCATCTCTACGACTTTCTCGTAGAGTTCGTAGAGCACACCTACATAGATTGATGTCCTTCCGCGGGGTGTATAATTTTACAAGCGTTATCCTTGATCACCGTCTCAATCACCTTTTTTTTTACCATATTTGCATCACTTTCCCTCCAACGCAGCCACACAGATGCATTTTTTCCTTGCTTTAGTTCTCCTCTCCGTGATCCCCGCCTTTCTTGTAGATAGCCCCGCCTCCCATAACGTGTGTAATGTTCCGACATGGGTGGCTGTTCTCTTTCCATCGCCATTTTTACGTTGTAGTGTATTGTCATTGAACTGGACTTCTCCTGGTGCCCTCTTGCCATTTCCTGTTACCGACCACCTAAATATCTTCAGGCGTTCTCGAAACAGGTACAAATGGTTAGATTTCCTCTGGAGCGTGGTGCGCGTTTCATATTGGAGGATAATGATTTGAAAATTCCTGAGAAAGGAGTTTATTTGATGGTGAAAGTGGTGTTTCCTTAAATACTGGAGACAACGAGTAAACGGGGCTGCTGGTGCGGCTACTGTAGTATCGCGACGGTTAAAGAGTGTGTAAATTTGTTTACGCTAAATTTCGTGCAGTCAGCCCCCGTCATTTTTATGATAACTTTGTGCAGAAGCAAGTTAACCAAAGTAATGTAAGAAGTTTAACGTGTGTTGTCCGATTACGGAAGAAATTTTTGTCGAGTTGAAAAAAGCAAGCAAGTTATAGTAGAGTGAGGATTTTGGGTAAGGTTCTCTTCCTATTAAAAGTTTTCCATCGTCCATCTTATTCATCAACCCAGCTTTGTTTGTCATCAGGTTCAGTGTTACCAAGAACAAGTAAAGTTCAGAAGCTGTCAGAGTTTGTGACTTTGTGTGTGATTTAAGTGCACCCGAATGTCGCAAACCTTGCATGACCAGATTGTTTGGGTTATTTAAAAGAAACTGTAAGTAGTTTAAAGACATTATTTTATTTATCCCCGCTTACGTACGGGGTAATACATCCAAACAAGCCGTATTTTCTTTCTTGCAGGGATCTTGTTTTATATATTGTTACATAGTTGGGTGGCCATAGTTAATATAAATCGCAAGTCTAACGACATTTAATGAGCCATCTTGGAAACGTGCGTTTATAAGGGTAAAAATGTCTGCTGAACCCGAATTCGGATGTTGCCAAGCTGATTTTTGGCTAATTTCAAAATGGCGGCCAATATGACGGCCAAATATATAAATTTTTATGCCAGACGGATTTCACATAGTTTTTCGGATTGAGGTGTTAAGAAACATACAGGAGACACAGAAAATTGCAAAACATATATTGGGTACATTATACAGAGAATATAGAGATAATTAATTAATCAAAATTAACTTTTTTGGTACTACGTTTATCGAATTCAGAAGGAAGCTGATGTAACACAATTTATTAGAATCAATGAAATTTATCGTTCTTTTTATCAATTAAAATGCATTTGATTTTTAGTAATTAAGCTTTTCAGTAATTTTGATTTATAGTCACACTTCATTTTGTTATAACATTTTGCTATATGATATTATGTTTAGTATTTTTTTGTAAAAATGGTATTTCCGTTAAACAAATAAATAAATAAATAAATAAATAAATAAATAATTCTGACGGCGAATGTATTATATTTCAAAAATTTTAACGGAACTTAAATTTCTTCATCCTGCTCATTTTTTTTACGATTGAAGCAGTCGCCAAGGCACTTGCAGATATTTGTGCACTTTTAGTTCAAAGCATAATTTATTTAGAGCCAAGTTTTTAGGAGGGCTAGTCTGAACATTCGATTTTTCAGTGTCTCTTATCGCATTTGCGAGACAATATGTGTGGTACAAAATGTCCCCGGCCACAGCATCATGAGAAGATGCAACTGTACGCCCTTATGTGCCCACTGCACCCAATGTAAATTTCCATAAGAGCGCCCGCCTAAAAAACTCAAGTTATTTTTCAAAAAAAATTTTTTTAAAGAACTATTTTATAAATTTAGACCTTTATCTACAAAATGTTCGCACTATTTTTCTTAAAAAGTTTATAACAACGGAATACCGATTGTTTAAAGATTAGATGTTTTGCATCGATTATTGCGGTAATCTGTTTTATTTTCTTACTCTCGATCAAGGGAAAAAGTAAACCGACAGCTTTCTAGATAAGTTACTTCTAAACATTACCCCAAAAAATGATCATATTTTTTGTAAATAAAGTCTGTATCTTGGTGGGCGGTAAATCAACAATTTGAATGTAGCAAGTGGCCCCGCTGCACAGTGTTGGCGGGAACTAACTAAGGACCAAGACAGGAGTTGACAAAGCAAGAATATCATGTTGTCTCTTGCAACTATAATCATCTATACACTATAATGTAAAAAAGTTGCGCTTAAATTTTAGAACACCAGAATTTTACAGGTGTGAATTTCGGATATACTTGACATTTATATTAGTACCTAATTGTAGGTACTTATTATAAATTTTCATTCTGATAGTTGGAAAAAACCTAAATACTTACCAACGGGTATTAAAAAGCACAAAATTTAATAACAACCAAAATTTGCCGAGGAAAATTAAAAACAGTATTTTAATTAATTCACAGCTTTTTTGGGACACCCTATATATCACCACAGGATGTATTTTCATACATTTTTCTGAATTAGCTATGAAGTTAATTAACCAACTCTTACGTATATAAGTAATAAATTATGGAAAACAATTTAATACTAAATAGTAGGTAGACAATACAATAGATAATGGCGCCATCGTGCTGTATTTGTGAACTAGTGCAAAATTCGGCCTGGCAACATCCGGAATCGGATTCAGCATATTTTTTTACACCTAAAAAACCATGTGGCCAAAATGGCTCAAAAAATGTCGTTAGAACTAAAAAACAGAGTCGTTTTTCGATTTGGCCACTTAACTGTCATGTGTTCGGAATAAATTTTTGCCATTGTCAGGCAATTAATTGTGTGTTTATTCAAATCCATTGTGCGACCCAGATAGATAATTCATGTCAGATTTTTATTTTCGTGTCCAAGAACTCAGATAAATAGGTCGAATGTCGTCAGTGTTAAATTGTGAAATTGCATCCTTTAGCTGGAGCACCCACCTTGTCAATTTTCTTAACCACTTTGTCAATTGCGTGTACAGTTTTACTATTCCCCGTATTATGGACCATTCGTTTGCAGTGGACCTCGTGAAACGAATTGGCAACGGCTGTTCAGAGGAAACGGGTTTTGCAGTGAAAAGTCACCGAGGTTTGGTCACCGAGTGAATCCTTTGGAAAAATACAATACAATGTTGGGAACACGCCAGGCGCAGTGAATCCTCGGGTACGGGTAGGCTATATTATATGAATATTTCAATCTGATCTTAAATACCAAGTGCTAGATGAGTTCCAGCTAATCAGAACATATATCAATCATAGGTTTGTGAACACGTTTTAGCATATCCATAAGGAAACGGCATCGATAAGAGTGGTTAAATGCATGTTAGAGTAAAGATACATCCAAAAACAGCAATGCCAAAATCACACCCAAATCCGATTAATTCAAACTTACGTATCCCATTCATAAATGGGTTTCGGATTGAGATATAAGTACAAGAACATATGCCATAACCAGGAGTAGAACCTAAAAAGAAACCTGTTAACACCCAAGGAATCCTATGAATAAAAATTTACCTCGTAAGGCTTACCCATTCGCGTAAATACGTGTAAATAATGTAGACAGTTCACTGTGGCACTTTTTACCCATTTTGTCGCTGATGGTTACAACGTACGTAGCTGTCGAAACAGATCCCGTTTGTTAAACCTTCTGGGCTCTGTTATAGAAACAAATGATTTATTTACCATTTAAAGCACATTAACTACTTACAGCTCAATGGTATATTATAGGACAATCGGTAAACCTGCGATTGGTACAGTTCGTCACTGGAGAACATACAAATCGTAGTGAGCTCACAACCCAATTTCTACACAATGAACAATTTCCTGTTACAATAGTGCGTAATGAAAGGTATTTCGACAAAGTACTTAATCGAATTACTTCCAGTCGAGGGAGGTTTTGATATACCAAACAAAAGCATATTAAGCATTCAGCCCCTAACAATATTAATGTAGAATAATGTCCCGCACGCGTGCTCGTAATTTACACCTCAACTACGCCATTATTGGAATAAACTTGCCTTTCGCGATCGAGATAAGAAAGGGAATTTTTTATGTGATTTAATTTTAGATTCGACATTCGCCAAAGTCGAACAGATGGAGGGCTGTCGAGAAATCCTAATAGGAACATTACGGAGACTGAGTAAACAAGATCCTTATTGGGAGACGGAACGAAAATTGAGTTTTAAGGAACGCTGGTCGTTGTTTCTTTTTTCTTGTAAAAGTATGGAATTACTTTTACAACGGGTTTATCGTTAATTGCAAATCACTTGGAAAATGATATCCTATAAAAAATGAAGACGAGGAATTTTGTATTACCTATAGCTTTACTGATTGGGTCGATCGAGATGTAATTTGTAAGG